GGCCCTTGGGGGGCATGCGGGGGGGGGGGGGGGGGGGGGGGGGGGCTCTGATCTACCTCCTGGGCTGACTGCTGTGGGGTGGAGGAGGGGCGTCTGCTGGAAGCTCCTTGGGCTGATTTTCGCTCCGGCCTTTGCAGGGTGACGGTGTTGCTTGAAAGAGCCAGAGTCCACGGCCAGCTCTTTGCAGGTGGCTGAAGGCCTGGTTACGGGTCGGGTGCTGTATTTGTAGGCAGCCTTACCTCAAAAGCTTCCTCAAGGGGTCCACGTAAACCTCTCCCGGGGGGGGGGGGGGATGCTTTCCAGCAAGTCTTCCAGGTGCATTCTGTGCCGGGGTTTTGCCCTCCTGTTTTGGAATAAGGTGCTATCTGGAGGCTTCTTACGTGTACAGGGAGCCGGAGGAGGGGCTGAGAGACTGTGCACCGCTGAGAGGTGGTTGAGAAGCTGGGATAGGCAAGCACGGGGGGCTGAGTTCAGCGCCCAACCGCAAGCAGGCACAGGAGTCACTGCTCTGCCCATGACACCCCCCCCCCCCCACACACCCCTGGATTTTGGCTGGGAGATGAAGTCAGGCTGCTGTGAGACACACCGGAGGAGGCCGATGTTCTGTGGTGGCAAAAACGAAGTGGGGGTGGGGGGGCGCTTCCTTTGCCACTGCAGTGTGGGTACTTGTGGTGTTCCTCGTGATGCGGCTGTTCGTGTGCTCCCCAGCCGTGGTGTTGGGGGGTTGCCCCATAGCGCTCTGCCACCCTAAGCCGGAGCCGAGGGGCCTGTGCTGGGAGTTCATCCTTGCCGCGGTGCCAAATCCCTCCTCTCTCCCCGAGATTCAGTCCTTCTTCTTCAGACTGTGAAGTTACAAATGCAGGGATCGTAAAATGGAATTCAACTCAGGCTTTCTGTTGGGTGGGGCTCATGAGCTGCCGAAGGGAAAGGCTCTTTGTCAGGTAAGAAACGCTGGTTTCTGTGTGAAAGGCTTGGCTTTGCTACTTACAGGGGTGTTTGTAAATGACTGGAAATGTTTAATCTCTCGTGGGCTTTTTTTTTTTTACCAGTTGCTTATGTCAAATGTATATGCAATACTGAACTTTGGAATAAGGGGGAAATAAAGCTATTTTTCATAACCTTTCTTATGGTATCTGTGTGGGGTGCTCCTTACCGTCTGTGCCTGGGCAGAGAAGGGTGGGTGTGGGTGTGATGGGGGTAAGGGAGAGATGCCCTTCCTGGCTGGGAAATTCTCTTTCACTAAAAGGTCCCTGCGAAGCATGCTGACAACCGGCTGCCACCCCAGGAACATCTGCTTATCATCTAATTAATTAATGCCCCCCCTGCCCTTTCCCCCCAGTGGGGGGGGGGCATGGACCCAAGGCGGCTCCCATCATTCTCCCTTTTATCCTCATAACAGCCCTGCGAGGTAGGGGAGGCCAAGGGAGTGTGCCTGGCCGAAAGCCACCCCGTGAGCTCTTCTGCGGGAGGGCTTCTAGTGTCCTGGCCCCACTGCTGGACCTCCTGATGGCCCCTGGTATTTCTGGCTACTGTTTGACACAGAAGAGTGTTGGACTGGATGGGCCACTGGCCTGATCCAACATTGGCATCTCTTATGTTCTCTCTGGGCGTGGGGGGGCCCCCCGCGAGCCTCCTCTTCCTCGATCTGCAGGCGGCAGCCTCCCGCATCACACCCTGTCCATGATCTCTCTCTCTGGTTCTGATTTGCTGTGGTCCCAGCCACGGTCTCTGCAGTCCACGATGCTCGCAACCAGGGTTCCCTCCAAGCTGAGTCAGTGTGAGCCGGCTCAGTTTTTTAGCCTCCGGCTCACAGAGTTTTGTCTCTGCTCAGGAAGGATGTGGCTCCAGAGCAAACTAAATTTATGCAAGAGCCAAACCACTTGCTCACCACCACTTTAATGCCAGGAGCTCACATGGTAGAATCCTTGCTGACAAGGCTCCACGCCTTAGAGGGAGCCTTGCTCTCAACGTTTATGGAGCGGACGTGCCTCTGTCATTTCTTACCCAGGACCGATCCCGGAGCTTCTGCTCATCCCCCCCCCCCCCCCAAGGGCCCAGCGCCCTTTTG